TTAAAATCTGAAGAAATTAACTTTTTCAAAATTTCATTTAAAAAACCTGCATCATTATAATTTTCTGAAACTCTACTCTAAGACTAGAAGGAGAATAAGAAGCAGAACAGACCCACTGTCTTCTAACAAGCATGTCGTAAAAGTAAACTAACTAGACGTTTGCTGAAATCAGAAGTGCCAGACCGAAAGGTGTGGATATCTCAGCCTAGCTTTAAACCACAATGCGCTAACTGCCCTTTCAAAGATGAACACAAGAGAAGAAAAAGAAATCCTGGTGTGTAAAAAATTGTGAAACAAGTTTGCACAGTCACACAGACAAAATATACTACTACTCTTTACAACTCACTCTACTAATAATCACTTATAATATAGTAAACAATACTGTAAGGCTAGTTTGTCGGCTCTGTGGCTAAGTCGATGCGAACGCTTCGTAATGCCTGGATGTTGGGTTCGATTCCAGCTTCGGGCCATGCGCCTTGCGTTGGTTTCGACAGTGGTACCAAGAAAGCTGACCGTCCAGAAAGCAATGGCAAACTACTAGATATAAATTTGCCTAGAAAAACCATACAACAGCCAGGGGCTGTTGGGGTTGGTTCTGTAGCCATACTGTTTACCCGAGATTAAAGTCTTCAAATGATACTTTTGAGCTGTCTTTTCTGCCTGTTTACACACTGTACTGTACTGTACATATTAGACACATACACACACTGTCTCACACACTCTATCTCTCTTTTTTTTTCTTGATATTCATAATATGCATGTTATTATATTAACATAACATGCTTTATTGATAAAATACACCTGCTATGTGAAAGATGGGTGTTTAGAAGGGCCAAATGTAAGATGGGCCTGCGTGCCCAATTTGTGACCCTTTGAAAGTAAAGTTTGCTCTTTTGTGCCTTCATTCATTCTTCTTCTTCTTCTCTCTGTCTCATCTCTCTGTTTCATCTCTCTGTAGTAAAACCCTTATCTCATTGGCACATCTGTCATATGTTGTTAGACCCACATTTGTATAGACCAACCAGCACCTGGTGAGAGATATGGTTGTTATTATGCCAGCCACCTTTACTTTCCAGGATGTTAGCTGGTGCCCATTTAAGGCTTGGTTGACATGGGAGCCAAGGCCTCTCTGTAGAGCCAATGTTAAAAGTTCTTGTGTATTTGATGAGAACAAAGTATTTAAAGTTGATAACCCTGTTCAACCAAACATAAAGTTCAAATATATCAGATAGTTTAACTCGATTAATGTGCGTTAGAAAAAATGCTGATTGCACTCACGTTTCAAACATACTTTAAAAAAAAACTATTTATAAAAAATGAAACTTTTACAATACAACCAATTTTCTTTGTGCAAACAAGAAAAAGGTGAAATAAAAATACAACTAATCACCATATATCTTTCATTGATGAAAATACTGGCAAGAACTGCAGGACACACTATGCACAGGAAAACAATCATACAAACAAAAAACAAAACGAATACAACTATAATAATACATCAAAATATACGGATGTATACAGAATGTAAGTTATCTGAAAATAAATCAAATGCCATCTCATAGTCAACAGTTAATTTTTTTTTTTTTTTTTTCCTTTTGAGAAAAAAATTAAAATGTTGACCAGCTTCAGACTGCAGCTAGCTAGCTTATTTTTTTTTTTAACCATTTAGTTTTAGTTGTCAGTCATTACAGTAAATGTTAACTGCTTAGAAAATGCATTTTGGATAGCTGGTAACATATTTTTTCTTAAAATACTTTACAAACACATACAGTTTCCTTAAATGTCAAACTAAATGAACTTACAGTGTCAAAGTAATAAAATCTGGTATTTTGAAATACTGCATATTAAACTCTTAGGACTAGATAACAACTGTTATGTGTGATCTGATTGCAGACCTGCTGGTAACAAATTAAACTATGTCAGCAATGTCATCTAAAACAAATCCATGCAATTTATCTTCAAAACTTGCACAACTCTTGTGTGACATGTTACCTAGCAACATAATTTGTCTTAATTAAACTAAACAGGCAAAATTAGCAGAATATTATGAACATTTTCTCAGGTGATAATGTCTTATGTTGGTTTAGGAATGTTAATTTTAGTTTTTGTCTGAAAAATACCCTCCTAAAGACAAAAGTCTTAACAGCATTATGTTTAACTCTTTGAGTCCCAAGGAACGCATCATACGTTCAAAGGTTCCTACCTAGAAGCCCAATGAACGCAAGTTGCGCCGATTTTATTACTTTCTTTACTACCCACTGGGCCTGTGATGCTAAACCTCCTGGGACTCAAAGAGTTAAGTATATAAAACAATTATAAAATAACTTAAATTAGGTTTCTACTTCAAGTGTACAAGTGGGGTCAGTGGCAATTTGAAAGTCTACCCATCTTATCCCCTATGTTTTCTGTACTATCCAGATGTGCTCACTCCTGGGTGAATAAGTCTGACCAAGTACCGATGCTCTGTTTGTTCTGCTGTCTCATGCACACCTGATCTCAGAACAAATCTTCAATCAATCTCACAAGGCGAAAAAAGTCCGGGAGATTACCATCAGCAACTGAGCACAAACAGTCAAAACAAAAATAATAAAGGATTTTGTAGAATCACTTCAAGAGACAGAAGTTAAAAAAAACTAAAACGGTACATATCATGAAAAGAGACCTGAGAGTGACCTCCCTTGCCATTGATGCCTCAATCTGGTGTAGCGCCTCTATTGTGTTGCAGGGGTTTCATGCGCACTGAGTAGTATTTTACTTCTTGTAGCCAGTGGCCAGCGATATCGCGTCTTCTATGCTGTGAGCGCTTTTAACGGTCCTAAAACGTACAACTGGGCCAACCCCCCTCCCTCTCACTGAACAGCCTCAGCCTATGTCTGACAACTGTATGCAGCCTCTATTATAAGCTGCATACAGTCGTGTGACCTAGGATGCACCCCTGCAACATAGTAGAGGCCCTACACCAGATCAAGGCATCAATGGAAAGGGAGGTCACTCTCACTGTTGGGTCTCTTAACATGACTGAGGTTAGTTAGTAGCGTATCCTTTACAGGACATTGCAGAACCAATCCCAACAGCTCCCGGCTGTTGTGTGGTTTTTCTAGGCAAATTTACGTCCAGTAGTTTGCCATTGCTTTCTAGACGGTCGGCTTTCTTGATACCACTGTCGAAACCAACGCAAGACGCATGGTCCGCAGCTGGGATCGAACCCGGCATCCCGGCATTACGAAGCGTTTGCATCGACTTAGCCACAGAGCCGGCCTTAACATGACTAGAACCAAAAACACTATTGGGATCTATTGCCTGAATCAAATACTATGAATATTACATCAATGGGGTTTGTTCCCTAATAAAAAATGTATTGAGACTGTTTTCACTGCAAATGACTGAAACCATCAATCCATTTGCAGAAAAATATGTCAATTGTTCAAGACAATTAGAACTTATTGACTCATTGACTTGTTTCATTCCTGGGCTGTCCTTCTAAAGTTGTAATATCAACGTAACAAGATGGGTCAACCCAATGTTAAAAACATGGATGTTAACGCAACAAAACAAACCCAGAGAGCTACACAAATTTCTACCACTTTGCAATCTGCTGCTCAACACAGCTGGAGATAACTAAATGAAATCCTATCTCTCTTCTTTAGGAAATCAAAATAAGAAATGTGTAATGGTGCATAAATAAGACAATTGTTGAGCAAAATTCATACAAGTTATAAAATAGCATACTTAGAAAAGGACACTGACATGTAAACTGTTGGCTGCACAGAATGAAAACCTCTACTACAAACGGCAAACAAATTTTTTAATTGAATAAACCTATCAACTGCGCTGTTACAGAAATGTTAGCATTTTTTTTTTAATCAGACCGAATTATACAAGTTTACCACGCAACCAATTTTTTCATTAATGATTAGTTTAACTCTTAAAGTGGTAAGTAACTTACCATAAGTTGTTTGACTACCTTATACATGGCATTTGTTTGTATCCAACTCTTTTATTGCATTAACACATTGTAACCCAAATGTTACTTTAATTCCTTTAGTCTCACAGACTTCAATTATTTTTTTTTAATATCAGTAAGGCTCAAAGATTTTTAATAAAAGTACACAATCTTTGGATTGAAAATAATTAAAGTAGCAATTGCTTGGGACTGAAAGAGTTTTAATTTGTATCTGACTTAGTGCAGTGATAATCAACCTTCCTAATGTCGTGACCCTTTAATACAGTTCCTCATGTTGTGGCAACCCCCAACCATAAAATATATTTTTTATTGATACTTCATAACCTCAGTGAACATGTGTTTTCCAATGTTGTTAGGGGACCCCTGTGAAAGTGTTGTTCGACCCTAAAATGGGTCAAGACCCACAGGTTGAGAACCGCTGACTTGAGTGTTTAATTTTTATATTATATTTTATATAACGGTTTGTGGAGCCCCATTTTGGCAGGAAATAGAACAGGTTCATTGCTCCCCTAACAAGAAGCATGTCATAAGGGGCAATAAGGAATTTTCTGAAATCAGAGGTACTAGGCAGAAAAGTTCAGATATCGCAAACTAGCTGCAAACCACAAGATAAAGTAAAGTGCCAGCCTCCCTTTTAAATACAAAAAAGAAGAAGAGGAAGTAGAAGAAACATATAACTTATATATAACCATTATTGTATCTGAAACATCTTCAAACTGTGTTGTGGATAATTTATTTATTTGGGTATAACCTGGTATGAAAAAAGGCAACAAGAAAGGAACTGGCTATCTCAGCTCTTCATGCTGAATACTAGAAAATATGAAAATCTAATACCTTACTACCCATTGACAGTAATTATAACACTTGCAGAACTAAAATACAAAACAATGTAATAACTCAGTCAAATTCAAATCAGACGCCTTTAAATCCAAATCAACAATGCCAATAAATAAATATATATCAATGCTTACATTCAGAACATATTAAAGTAACTTGAAGCATTCAATGTTGTCTGTCGGCACCGAACACATGCACATTAGCTGGCAGACTGCACCAGTAAGATGTTATTTTCTTGGCCATTTTCATCACACTTGACTGGCTGTAAAAATATGGAAAAAAAAACAATAGTAAACATCAACTTGTAAAAAGTTTAATATATTAACTCTCAAACAGTGTAAAAGTGTAAACTTTCAGTATGGGTTCCAAGGCCTCATTTTATTTTTAGATTCGGGGGAGGGGGGTTGGGGTGGGGGGTCGGGGGGATAGACCCACTGCTCCCCAAGCATGTCATAAAAGGCAAATAATTAGGAATTTGCTGAAATAAGATATGTTAGGCTCAAAAGCTGCAGATATTGCAAGGTAGGTGTAAACCACAACACTGCATGCCAACCGCCCTTAAAAGGGTGAATGCAGAAAAAAAAGACAGTGTATATACTTAAAAATCGACTATCTTGTTGTTAAATCTTATTCTTAGGATTCATCCAGTGGTAGCAAAGGTGAATGGACACTGCCTGAACACGGATAGCCTCGCATACAATGTCACAACCTGCAGTATGAGAATGGAGGTGGAAGCAGTAACAGCAGCTTTCTGATGGCTTTTGGGGCTACGTGGTCTCCAGACATGATGTCCGCCTTGAGTGCTAGAGGTTCCAGGTTCATACCCTGGTAAGGCTAAGGCGTTCTGAGTCGACTGTAATCCAACGTCCCGCGATCGAAACCTGCGTGGGCTGAGTGGATTTTTATCGTGGTATGGGACGTCGCAGGTCGACCCAGCCTCAAATTGGTACCAGGATGGGCTGTCCTGGGAAAGTAAAGACGGCCGGCATAATGCTGACCACATTACCCACCGAGTGCCGATTGGTCTGTAAAAATATGGGTGCTCTTCCCGTATGCCCGATGCTTTACTTTTTTTACTTACCCTGGTAAGGGCTGTGATTTATTCACGTGGACTTGGACTTTTAGTAATTCTCCCAGTCTCTGGGTAGTGAAATTGGATGCCCGTGTAAAAAAAAAAACCTTGGCAGTTGGAAATCGAAAGAGTGGCCTAATGGTGCTGCCCGCGCAAAATATTAGTTTAAAAATCTACCTAAAGTATTTCAGGATCCTCGCTGGTGCTACAGAGCCTTGCACTGTGCTGAGCTTTTTCAGACTTGAGTTCGAAGAAGAATGGAGCACTAATGGGTTACTACCCATGTGCCACGAAGTTGATCCGTTGTTGAAACTTCAAACTTCTGATGGCTTAACAGCAGCACAATCTAACGTGCTGTAGTTGTGATGGACTCACAGAGCATGTTTTGGACAATTCAAACTAGTGTCCTATGAGTAGAATGGTTTGCATCTCTTGATAAGAATGAGATCAGGAGCAAACCGTTGATTTTCTGTCCAGAATATTTGGATTTCTGAGGCAAAGAGCTGGCTGACAGAGTACATGTGGGAATGTCCTGAGTGCCGTCATGTCAGTTTTTAATTCATTCATTCACCCATTGGTACAGCAGAATTTAAAGAGGATTAGGGAGAGAGACAGTTCTCATCAATGGCTCCTTTATAAGCTGGCAACAGGCACTTATTCGAAACAATAAGTTGCGACCATGTGCATTTTTGTCCTTTTCTCTCTTAACTGAGCACTCCAGTCGAAGTTAGTTTTTAATGAATTCATTTCTTGAAATCAGCCCTACTGCACTCACCCCTAATTTCAGTCCTTTTGCAAGCTAGTTTTGAGAGGTATTTTCCAGTTATAATAACTTTCCCTTTCCATAACTGATTCCTTTCTTGCTGCATTTCCCATACTTTGCTAAGGTTTTAATTATTCGTCTTTATTCAGACAAATGGATTATTGTGACATTTCAAATATCTAGGTTATTATTGTCATTTTTCATTTTCTTTCCTCACTGAAAAAGACTTGGTCGAAACCATCACCTCTTGTATCTATGTATTCCTCAGTCAAATTTTGCATTCCCTGGTTCTTGTTCAATACTTTACTACCAAGAAAAACACTTCTTGTTATCTTCATAAGAAAAAAACAATCCCATGAACATAACACATCTGGTTATATATTCTAGTTATATATTCCATGAGCGTCTCTTGAGCTGAGTTAAAAAATATATCACAGTACTTAGGACATTCCCAGAAGCTCTCTGACTCCATCATCAGCAGCCAGCACAGAGTTCCAGTTCTGATGGTACAAGTATCAATGTGACTGCATGTCCATCTTGCCTTTTCTCTGAGTATTAAGTGTCAGCCAGATTACCTGGTACAGTCCTAGGTCACCATTCTCTTGAGATCATGATGATCTGTTTTTCCCTCTACACTGTTCACTTTCTTCCAAAAGACCTTGACAACATTTAGCTTGTCACACATCACCTGACCACCAAGTAGTGCAAAACCAGCCAATTTATCGACCTTTTTATTTCTGAATACACCATCTTGAAGAAAAGGACGCTCACTACCCAAAACTTGTAAAATAACGTTTTCCACTCTACTCAGAAAAACAATGAGCTACTGAAGGCAAATAGAGGCAAAGGAACTAATCTAAATTAGGCAGTGGACATAAAAACAACCAGGGATTAAAAACAATAATTTTATACAAAATCCATGTCAGAAAGCAAACAAGATTGTCTTTATCTGAAATGTATGTCGGTGGGTGTGGCACAAAATTCAACATTTTTTTTCTTCAAATGTTGGCCCCTACCCCTTTTTCCAGACAATAGTGTTGAGTGTGATATAAGGAGATATAGATATCACACCCATGGTGATGGCCAAGTCCATAGCACTGGCAGTACTGTAAAGGCTAAGTGTTGCCCGTGCAGCATGGTATGGTCCCCCTTTCAGAAGGTTTGTTAACTTGTTTTCCTTCAAAGTCAGAGTATATTTGCTTGAGAGGTGAGTAACCAACAGTCTGCTTACAGATAAGCAAAATCTGTAAAGTGCACATGCATGCAAATTCAAGTTCTGGAACAAGACTAAAGTTCAGAATTGGATGAACAACCAAAACTTTCTGCCAGAGTTCACAGCCAGGGAACATGAAGAAGAAGAAGAAATATAATTAAATAACATCATCAAGTAGAAGGCTCTTTGCAGACTATTGCTCTCATCGTAGCACTCTGGAAAGCAGATCAGTATCATCCAAACTTTTCCACCTCAATAACTTTCATCCTCAGGGTGTCCATGATATTTTGTCTCCAACATCATTATGGGAAAGCAGATCAGTATCGTCCAAACTTTTCCATTTCATTAACTTTCATCCTCAGGGTGTTCATGATATTTTGTATCCAACATCATTATGGGAAAGCAGATCAGTATTGTCCAAACTTTTCCACTTCATTAACTTTCATCCTCAGGGTGTCCTTGATATTTTGTATCCAACATCATTATGGTCAGCAGCTGCCTCTTCAGCCAGGAACCGTGCCCTTCATTACTCCTCTTTCCAAACCATTACAGCATTTAATTAATATAACCAAAAGACTCCTGTTCTTGAGAAATGGTACTGCTTATTCTGTCTAGGTTCTGGGGGTCCCATTGTGGCTGGGGAGACACATTGCCTCCTTAACTAGCATGTCATAAGTCGACTAAATAGGGGTTTCCTTCAAAATCACAGCTACTGAGAGGCAAAAAACCAACAGTCTGCATTCAAGCCTGATCAGTAAAATGGATGTGCATGCAAAACAAGTTTTGGAACAAAACTAAAGCCCAGAAGTGGAAGCGCAACCAGAACCCTTCTGCCAGACAGAGTTTACAGCCAGTGAAAGTGAAGGAGAATAAGAAAAATACTGTTTACAAGCTTGTTTCCCTCTATATTCGCATTATGAAGAATGTTGATATTTTTCCACATTTAAATTCAGAAGCCTATTCAGAAGAATACTCTTACTAATTAATAACTAATTGAAAAATTCATACTAACCAATTTTTTATTGATTACCCACTTCTCATCAACGTAGAATTTGTATAAATATTCTCCAACAGGTAGATTTATCGATTTAGTGAAGATGTCTCCACTGAAAAGAGCAAGAACATGTTTATTAAAATCTGCACATTGTTTTAAAACTTTCCTTTTCTTCTTTATCATAAACATCATGAGAGAACAAAAAGCACTGTTTTTGCAGCATTGTAAAAAATAGAAACATACTGTAGTTTTGAGAGAATGTTTTTTCCTATCCAAAAGTATTATCTTCTTGTTAAGGATATCTATCTTCTCTCATTTTTTGAATGAATTCCTTGTCTCAGCATTGTAAAATGATTTCAGTTTGATTTTAAAATCATGTTCATGTGTTATTTTCTTATCTATAAAATTAAGTCCTTGTCTTAATGTTGTCAACTATTTTCTAACAGTTTAAACTTACTTCTTGATTAAAGTAATCTTTTCTTGCCAGCTGTCAAAGGAGCCACTGACAAGAACCGTTTCTCCGCCTTCATCCCATGTAAATTCCACGTTAACAGTGGACGCATCCTTAAAAAAAAGGAAAATGAGGAAAAACATACTTTAACAATCAAATTAAATCGATCATGCTTTAACTCTTTCAGTCCCAAAGGAACACATTGTACGTTTATAGGTTTTTACCTAGAAGCAAAATGAACGCAAGATGTGTTGATTTCATATCTCCCTTGACTATCCCTTGAGCCTGTGATGTTAATCCCCCCTGGGACTCAAAGAGTTAAAGATGAAATGTATATGACTCTAAATAATTATATTTTACATTCAAATACTTGGTAGGCATATATGAACAGAAATGAAAATATTAACCCAAAGAATGTAAAAATTTAATATATCCTCAGCAGCACTTTTTTTTTAGAAACAAAGGTACTGGTACACACCACATAAGTTTCTTTAAAAATGTGACTTATAGGAGCCACGGTACTGAAATGGCTAGATGCTCGCCTGTTAGCCCAAAGGTTTTGATATTGAATCTCCTCCACTACAGTTTTATTATAACTGCCTTGGCTTTCAAGTCAACTCAGCCTAAAATGGGTATCATGATTCAGGGAGGTAAAAGTGGTTGGCAGGATGATGGCCATATTACCCACTGGGTGCTGACTGGACTATGAAAATATGGATCTAGCCCCGCATACCCAGTGAGTTACTGGTGTGAAAAGGGTCTATAATAAAGCTCTATAATAAATAGCACTGGAGACTGACAGAAATCAAAAGGAGGATGGCTATAACAATTCAAAGATTAAACAGCCTTGAAAGTCTTTGGTTAAGCACCAACAAGGAAATCAAATTTTGAGAGCATGCATCTTCTCTGTAGCAACATACGGATGTGAAGCAAGGACTATCTCCCAGACCTTAACAAAGAAAAAAGGGGCTTTTGAGCTGAAATACTATAGAATGATTTTTCAGCATACCATGGAAAAGAAGAGAAGAAATACTGACATTTTAAAAGATGTGAACATCAAGGAAGATTGGCTAATAAACAGCATTTTGTCTCGGAAGCTGAAATATTCTGGTCATATCAATCCCCATGGCGGACTGGAAAAATAGTAGCAGAAGGCATGGTACCAGGAAAGGAGGGATAGGGGCTAACCAACACGAAGATGGAGACAGGATATAAGTGACTTCTTGAATATGAAAGTACACAAGGCGGGAGAAATGGCAAGAGTTTCTTTCAGGCAGACCATGATGGGAGCAACATTCTGCAAAGGACCTGCTACATAATTATTATTTTGGTTATTATTATTATTATTATTATTATTATTATTATTATTATTATTATTATTATTACCATTTTTGCTCTATTTTATTCATGCAACATTTTCTTTTCCTCTCCCTATATTCTATACCTTTTCATGTGACCTCCCTGTGTGGGGGTCTGTTAGAATACTCTGCCCCTTGTTGCTGTGGTGATTTTTTTTTTTTTCTTGTGTGTTTACTTTCTCTCTCCCCCTTCCTAATTCATTAGGGTTGTTTGTCACAGTTCTGTGTTTCAATTACACAGACTTTTATGGATGAAAGTTCAATATGTCAGTATGAAGTTCATAATCTGGCCACTACTGTTTAAAAACAAAAACATGAAATATATTTTATTATTTTATCACTTATGTAAAAAAAAATTACCCAGTTGTAAAAACCTTATGTAATGTAATATCTTCACTACATCTAACTGGCAATGCGTCAATTATCCAGTTTTGTCCTTTTAAGGATGACATTTTTTGTTATTTGAAGCCCTACCCTGGCTTTTTTCAGGGGCTGCAATATAGGCAGGCCATAAAATGGTCAACTGTCTGAACGCGGTTTCTAGGACCTCTCCACGGCGATCCTTATCCACATGGTGGCACTTTGTGTCATCTGGTGTTTATCGCTTGTGTGATGTCCTAGTGGGGTAGAAAGTCAGTCAGTCAGACTGGCAATGTGTCATCTTTTCAGAAAAACATGTCATTCACTTGATAAATGTATTAGATCAGGCTGGGAGTTACCGTAGCACTGGCGGCTGGACCTGCGGATTGGAAGATCAATGGTTCGTGTCCTGATAGAGCCAGACTTTTTTTTTTTTTTTTAAATGACTTTGATTCTCAGATTGACCCAGCCTTGAGTGGGTACCAGGTGCATTCCTGGGAAGTAAAGGCGGTTGACGTAATGCTGACTTTTTCACCCACCAAGTGCCGATTGGTCTATAAAAATATAGGCCTAGCTCTATATTCCCAATTCGCCTAAAGGCGCGGAAACGGGACTTTTACTTTACTTATTATATCAGACTGCCAGGTGCACACAGTCTAGCATGGGTAATACGTACAAGTAAAGTAAAGGACACCTGAGCAAGACAACCATATTTAGTCTCTCGCCCATGTGACTATTTTAATCTTTGAAAAAAATCACAACCTCTGACTCCTTCCTATAAATGGAACAAAAAACCATTTTTATCATCAGCGCAATCCTTTCTCTTGCCTCATATTAAAAATAAAATCTGTAACAAGGTCAAACATGAATAACATGAGCTAACCTCACTATGGGCAGCTTCTGAAGCATCTCCAGATGAGCTGGTTGCTGCTCCTGTCTCTGCTGTGTCTGAAGGAGCTGCTGGGGCACTTTCTCCATCCACGCTACCTTGAGCCTAAATTTTTGCAATGGAAGAGAGACATAATTATTTCCTACATTTCTGTCCATGTTTCACTCAAGTGTTAATAAAAGTACACTGTCATCCCTCAATCGTCCAAGTCAGTGGTCAGCAAATCACGGCTCGTGAGCTGCATGGGGCTCTTTAGCAGCCTGAGTGCGGCTCGGTCAGTTAGCCACAAATCAGTTTTGACTCTGAAAGACATGATTCTTGACAAGTACTTGAAAATAAATTTGGCTCTCATAAAAACTATTTATCCTTCTTTGATTCTTTGGCTCTTTTAACTAATGAGTTTCCTAACTACTGAACTAAGACATTAACAATCTAAAGATGTACAAATGAAAGGAAATGTCTAAAGATGTACAAATGAAAGGAAATGTCTAAAGATGTACAAATGAAAGGAAATGTCTAAAGATGTACAAATGAAAGGAAATGTCTAAAGATGTACAAATGAAAGGAAATGTCTAAAGATGTACAAATGAAAGGAAATGTCTAAAGATGTACAAATGAAAGGAAATGTCTAAAGATGTACAAATGAAAGGAAATGTCTAAAGATGTACAAATGAAAGGAAATGTCTAAAGATGTACAAATGAAAGGAAATGTCTAAAGATGTACAAATGAAAGGAAATGTCTAAAGATGTACAAATGAAAGGAAATGTCTAAAGATGTACAAATGAAAGGAAATGTCTAAAGATGTACAAATGAAAGGAAATGTCTAAAGATGTACAAATGAAAGGAAATGTCTAAAGATGTACAAATGAAAGGAAATGTCTAAAGATGTACAAATGAAAGGAAATGTCTAAAGATGTACAAATGAAAGGAAATGTCTAAAGATGTACAAATGAAAGGAAATGTCTAAAGATGTACAAATGAAAGGATATGTGACTTTCAGAAACAAGGCTCACTGCTCTGTCTGAAACTAAAAAGAAAAACCACTGATACAAATGAATATTTTGACCATGGCCAGGGGTGCCATAATCTGGGTGGGGAGGGGGAGGGTGGCTTAGGCACCTTGGAGCTCCCAATCCAACACAAAATTTAGTGGGGGGGGGGGGAGGGCAGGAGAGGGAAGGGTGGACCATGCTAACATATGTTTTATTATTTTTTTTTAAAATAGGGGAGAGGGATCAAAGCTGCCTGTACCTATATTTTCTTTGTGTTTTTTTTTTAAATTCCCTATCTCTAACTTTTGTTCAAGCTTTATTGAAAGCTATGGCATAAATAGCTGTCCGCTTTGCTTCAGCACTCACATATGAAAGTTTGTGGGAGACATCCCAGTTTATTTTAAATATAATTTTACACATTACAGACATGGTTTTTTTTTTCTTCTTGCAGTGAAATCTGCATTTCAAACCAACACATCAGATTTCTGCCAGCTCCCAGTTAGTCACCTTTTGCATTATGCTTGTTAGGGCAGTAGTGGGTCTTTCCCCCCCCCCCCCCCCCCCCCCCCATCAATATAGAACCCTGGATGACATGTTCATTACTGCATTTGCTCATCTATATTGCAAATATGGACTAACAATTAGAAGAAAAAAAATACAAAGGTTATGACAGACTTGCAGTCTATTTTGATGGTGAATAACTGGAGATAGCTGACTATTTTGCCTACATAGGATTTACAGTGAATAACAAACTATCATTGGACCAAGAAATCAACATAAAGATAGGTAAGGCAGCAAAAACAATGAGCAGAATAACAAAAAGGGTTTTGGAGAACAAAATGCTCTCAGCTTAAAACAAAACCTCTTGTGTATTTGAAGGATTGTTCTTTATGGCAGTGAAACTTAGTCAACTTGTTTGCACCAGAAGAAATCGCTAATCAGCTCTCACATGTGATGCCTAAGAAGAATACCTGGTATTAAGTATCAAGACAAAATCACAAATACTGTGGTACTGGAAGGAGTAGGTACCAAAACAGTTATCTCAATGCTCAGGTGACAAGGCCACACTTGGAGAGTTAAGAATGGTCAAGTCTCTAAAGATATCCTCTATGGTGAATTGCAGATCAGTAGATGATGTTGACGTTGGCCTCTACTACAATATAAAAGAAGTGTGCAAGCTGAACATGAATGATAAAGGTATTGAGATAGATATGTGAGAACAAAATATCCTGGACATTGCTGCGTGGAGGTAGAAAATCATCAAGGGAATGGGAATTATTTAAAAAATGACTGTAGATAGGTTGAGATCTGAGCGTCTGAAAAAAAAGCAAATTAAATACATCTAATGGCCATAATGGTCCTGAAATCCCATGCTCTAATTGTGGAAGACTTTTCCTAATACAACCAGGTGTTGCTAGTCACATTTGCCATTGCCACAGCTGTGATTCTCATGTCTCCCTACTGCAAAACATTATATAATTGCCTGGAAAAATGGAAAGGTGCTAACTGCTAACAGAGTCCCAGAACTCACACAGGATTTTGTACAATGTATCCCCCTGGACCATAATGTTTGTCTTCTTTTAAGTTATGTTCTTAAAATTAATTTTTTTATATTGTTAGTCCAAACTCACTTAAAAGCAAATGCACACAGGATTTTATTAGGATTCATAATACAACAGATCTTTTTTTTTTTTAAATTTTTTTTTTTACATTTAATAGTTTACACAAGTTGTTTTCAATTCGTAGTAATGTAATCATTTTCATCCTCATATGCTGTCTGTCTGTTACAATATAAGTGATTAGATCACTGGTTTCATAATTATCAGGTGTGACTACACACCACAAATAAAAGGAAATCAAATAAGACAGCCAAGGAACCTTCCTTCATATAACAGGCCTCCGGGCGGCTGAAAAAGGATCAAATTTGGAATTTTTGTTGGACAACTGGAATTGGAATCGGAATTGGTTGCATAATAATTTTTAGTGCATCATAGAATGGCTACTCTTCGAGAATGATTAACAGAAAGCCATACAGAAAAACAATGTGAGTCTTTTTATAGATTGTAAACACTCTGTTTTTGTCTCTTACAATGAAATGTCAATATATCTTATACATTTATGTTTTTTCCAACGAATCAACATCATGGCACATGGGTGCAACCCATAAGTGCTCCGTTCTGCTTCTAACTCAAGCGTGAGTCTGAAGAATCTCAATGCAGTGAATGAACTCAGTTGCACAGGCGAGGATCCTGAAATACTTTGGCTACATTTTTAACTGCAAATTTTGTCCAGGCAGCGCCGTTAGGCTACTCTTTTCCATTTCCAACTGCCAAAGGATTTTTTTAACGTTCACAACAATACACACAGGCGTCAAATCTTACTACCCAGAAATTCTGTGCAGGTTGCTGAAGATCTGAAGATGGTGCATATGGGAATGTCCTGAGTACCATGTCAGTTCTTATCTCAACTACAGAAGAGTGATGCAGCTGGGAGTGGTGAGGGGATCTGGCCGATACTTGTCGCTCAGAGGAAAGACAAGACGGACATATAATCAGACTGCTACTGGCACTATTGGTACTCGAACTCTGCACTTGCTGCTGAAGATGGGGACGGAGCACTATTTATTACAGGCAATCTTTGATACAGAGATGACAATTATATCAGATAATTATCATGTGAATTTCAATAAAGTGTTCAGTGTATCAAATGTGTGTATTTACTAGCTGATTACAATGTTTGTTGGTGCACAGACAAGATTAGTGTTTGGTCAGATACAAGCTATTTTCAGTAATAATCACACAAGCAGAATAAAGTTATTATATTTAAATGTGCAGTGAAAGGATACAACAGTATGCTGCATTATCAAAAATTTACAAACAATCTATTATTTACTCTGTGACAATGAAAGGGCATTATGCAGACAAGGAAAGACTAGAATATTTCAGAACAGGATTTCCAAGAAAAAAAAAACTTTACCTAAACTATTCTTCAGATGTCATTCAAATAACTTAACTAGATTGCAAAAGGTAGTGATTAAAACATAGCTGGCTTGAAATAAACACTGTTATCTATTAGACATGTAAGATAATAAACCAGTAATTATGAAGAAAAAAAAAAGCAGAAAATGCAATGGTACGGACTTGTAATAATACTTAAATGCCTCCCAAAAATAACAGAACATGACTCAGTAGAGGTAAGAAGGGAAGAGGCAGGCCAAGAAAGACCTGATTACATAATTTTGATGGACTAGGTAGGTCTTAGGCATGCAGTCGTGAAGTCAATTGCATGTGACCATCAAAGGGGGAGACTGCAGATCTGACAGTAAACAGAAACTGGTGACCCAATGATACACAGAATGATGATGATCATGATGATAAATTAGAAAACATTTTCTATCAAGCTTTAGACACATCAAATGTGTAAAGACACTGAAGCATATAGGTTTTCATTGCAGACTGCGACAAACTATTCAATAAAGAGAACTGTGAGAAAATGTTTACTCTCAAGCTTTAGACACATCAAATGTATAAAGACACCGGTGCATTAAGGTTTTAATTGCAGATTGTGACAAACTATTCAATAAAGAGAACTGTGAGAAAACATTTTCTGTTAAGCTTTATACACATCAAATGTGCAAAGACACTACAGCACACATCAAATGTGCAAAGACACTAGAGCAAAGTTTTCATTACAGATTGTGACAAATTAGTCAACTAAGAGAACTAAGAAAACCTTTTTTCCTGCGCTTACTTTATAATGCATCTTTAGAAACACCCTAACTATTTACCTCACAGAGTTACAACATCATTGAGTGACCAGTTATTGCCAAGTGCATAAAAGCACATCCTGGAGAGCTGTGCAACATATGGCAAGAATATGGACTTTTGTTATAACTTACATTTTTGCTTCTAGATGAGGTAAAGGGCAGAATAACCCTGGCCTTATTTATGGTTTTGGCAAGCTTTGAAGATTGTTTAAAGCTATTTTGCACCTGTTTTACTTGGACATCACCAGATGCTGCATCATCTTCCCCTTCTGCTGGTGGTGGTGGCGGAAGTTCTTCAACAGGTTCTTCAGGTTTCTCTGGCTCCTCTTCTTTGGGTGGCTCCGCTGGAGCTTCTTCTGTGACCAACTCTTCATCGACTGTTTTATCCTTCACCTCTTCTTTGGCTGGCTCATCATCCTGGGCTGGTTCTTCTTTGTTTTCAACTACTGTCTCCTCATTCTTCTCTTCTGCTGATTCTTCACGTGTTCCTGACCTAGTTTGCTGTTCTTGATTGTTCTCTATAACTGGCACCTCTGATGAAATGTTCTCATGTTCCTCAGTGGTCTGTGGTGTGCTTTCAGGGGATTCTACTTCAGGTGCTGGCTCACTCACAGTTGCAGATGAATGCACTGACTCTGATAAAGCAGTTGTCTCTTCACGCTCTTTTGTAGCCTCACCACTGTTTGATTCAGGTACTGATGTAGTGCTTTCAACCTGGAAGGCAAAGAATATTCACAAATTAAAAAAAAAAACATACAATTAAATAAAAATGACATTATCAAAAATAAGTTATCATAAACATTGTCAACAGTGTTATTTACCCTTTACAACATGATTATGAGAACAAGTCTATGCGAAAAGGCACAACACACAGGAAATATTAGGTCACTAATAAAAAAAATCATAGTTATGGAATAAGGGAAGCTGGTAAAACATTCCAGCTTGCTTTGAATACAGATAAACGTTTTGGTTTACCACATTACAACTTACAGTACATGTTACGAGGCACTGACCATCATTATGTCTGTCCATAACCTTCTGTCTCAATCATTTCTGATAAAAATGTTCGTCTATACCATGATACCAGACTGTTCCAACAATTCTTTCTTGGTCTATCCTGTTTCTTTCCCCCTCCAACTTTACTGTTACAAACACATTTTCCAGCTGTCGCCCTCTCACAATGTGATCAAAGAATGGATACACCTTAGAGCAACTAGTATGTATGCAGTTGTCCTTGGATTTTTTTGAGGTAAAAGTTCACAAAGGATTGAGAAATCACAATGGTACAACAAAAAATAACCTTCTCTCAAGAAAATTATGAAAAACTAAAGCTCATTTAGGGGGGGGGGGGGGGGGGGGGGGGAGAGTAATGCTCGTTGATAACTCTGTCACGAAGCAGGCAATATTATGATTGAAATTTTAGTTCGGTAAAGCGGGTTTACACACCATCACTCCATATTTTCTGAGGTCTTCCTCTCGCTCTATACCTGTTGTAAGGTTTCAATGTGGTGTGCTGTTGGAGACAGTATTAGAGCATTCTTGTTAGGTGTCCAAACCACTTCATTAGTTGTTCCTTGATGACCTGTAGGACTATTATTCCTAAGCTGCAGGTTGGCCCAACCTAAAATCATCATCATCATCATAAACCACTTCTGCCATTAAGCGTCATGGGGAGGAATTATTTGCGATCCAATGCACGTTAGCTGCCACTGGCTATTGTCCTGCCGTGAAGGCGTAGAGTGTCTTTAATGTTGTCGATCCATATTTTCTGCAGCTGTCCTTTTGCTCTTGTAACTGATCTTCTGAGATGTAGTGCTTGTGATGGTATTTGATTTTGCTGCATTAACAAGATGGCCAAACCACTTTATCTGCTGTTTCTCAATAAAACTAGTACAAGGTGTCGTTCTTACAGTTTGCCTGATAGTTTCATTATTAACGCTTTTCTTAGGCACCTCATCTTGCAGGTGGTGATTTTCGTATATGGGCTTTAGATAGTGTCCATCCAACCTAAAATAAGTACTTTCTGAGACATAATAATGGTTTCTGGCATTGTATTGACCACCTTACCTGCCTAGTGTAAGTTGGTCTCTATGTTAGTAAAGGAAAAATAAAAACCTGTTTTATGCCATGGACACATAACCAACAACTCTAGCAAGCAAAAGATCAAGTATCTAGGAAACATAATATGATCCAAAGAAAAAAATGGAAGCTGAGTTAGATCACAGATTTAATAAAGCAAATCAAATAATTGGACAGAAGTTGCACATTTTGCAGAACAAACATGTCACAATTAATATGAAAAGAGAAACTTATATTATTCAATACAGTATTTTTAACAACACTGTGTTAACGGTGCCAAATGTGGACATTAAAAATAAAAGGAAAAAAGAAAAACTGAAACAACAGAAATGAAATGTCTATAATAAATCCTATCTGTAACTAGAAGAAACATAATCAGAAATGACGATAATGACGATATCAGAAACAAGTTCAGGGGAAAAAAAAACGGTATTTAATTACATCCAGGGACAACAGATTAAATAGTTTAGATATGTGTCAACACTACCACCAGATATTGCACCACAGAGAGCTCTGTCACTTAGACATAATGGAAACAGAGGTTGACCACACAAGCAATGGATAGAAGGAATATCCAAGGCCATAAATACCAACATTTATCTAGCATATACCAAGGCTCGCACCTGAAACCTCTTCTTTTTAACTTTCACTGCGTGTAAACTCAGCTGAAAGTTATGGTTTTTGTCCACCCCTGGACTTAAGTGTTATTCAAGAACCTGAATGTCACATGCATATATCCATTTTATAGATCTGGCTTATCTGTATGCAGACTGTTGGTTTCCTGCCTCTCAGGCAAATGCACCCCACCTTTGAAGGAAGCTCCCAATTCGACAACTCCTGCAACATGCTTGAAGGGGAGGCAGTTAGTCTATTCTTGTGTTCTCCACAATGGGGCCAAAAATCCACACAGAACAAACCCTCTTCACAAACTGACACTGAAGAACACAACAGGATTACAGAAGAAGAAGATCAAACTGGGCATATGGTGTTAGACCTAGATCATTTATAGCAGTTGGCCCTCAGTGGGAGGTGTGATCAGTCTCATGTTTGGAATATGTCTATAATTATGCCCAGTATGCCCCAAGACATGGAAATGAGTCTTCTGTTTTGATTATTAAATAAATTTTAAACTATGATTTCTGTTTAGTTAAACTACTTCATGGACGAATACAATGTCTGTTTTCTAAACAAATCTCATGGAAAAAATTATGGATCCATACCTTTGCTGATCCACTTTCATCAGCTTGTCCTACAACTACTGATGAACTTCCATCATCTGATTTTGCTGCTGTTGAAGTTCCATCTGATGTCTCAACTGTTGATGCCGCTGGTGTTTCTTCTGATTTTTCTGCTGATGAAACTTTTTCTGACTTTGCTGGCGATGCTGAAGTGACCTGTGATGCCTCTGCTGCATTTAATGTCTCACCCGATTTCTCTGTTACTTCTGAAGCTTCCCCTAACTTCTCAGTTGCTGCTTCTGTACCTTCAGCTGCATTCTCGGCTGCTGCTGATGCTTCACCACCATCTACTTCCTTTGGTTCCTCTGTCTGTTCCTGAGCTTGCCCTTCTACATTTTCTCCTTCCTCGGTTTTGTTTTTCTTGCTTTTTTGCTTGCTGCTTTTTCCTCCCATTATAACTGAGTTATCTTTTAATGTTATAAAATCAGAGTGCAGATACAAGGGCAAATAACTTTTGCTGTTAAATGATGTGGGCAAGATAACTCCTGCTTGTATCTGAAAGGAAACAGTTGCGTAAAATTATATTTAAATTAATAAAATTAACTATTTGTGTGAGAATGAATAATAATGTTGATGATCTTTTTCTTTATACATATTTATGTGGCCTTCTGATTAAAAGAAATTATCCGTAAACCTGTCTTTGCTGATATCTCCATAGTTTTGCCCTGAAAAAAATGTTGGCAAAAGCCAAACAAATTTATATGCTCTGCTTATCTTGGATATAAAGACAAACAACTGCCACTGTTGTCCGTATTTACTACTTTTGCAGTGTAGGCAGCGGGTCCTTGAGTCTGAGAATTTAAGGACCACCTGTCTAGTACTGTCGCCATGGACTGTGCAGGTTAGGATTTTATTTTTGCCTCTGACAGAAAAAAAAAATCAACATAGATTTTGTCGAGGATTCGAACTTGTGTCTCTGCATGAGAACCCAGCATTCTTAACCATTTGACCAGCAACTCGTGATTTTTTTTTATATTTATGCATCAAAATTTCACTAATCATTTTACAAATTCAAATCTATGGTTGCATTCATAAGTATCTCCAAAGCCTAGTGTATTAAACATGTAATATTTCAGCCTGTTATGTCTCTTGTGTGGAGTCTGTACTTTGACTGGTTAACATTGAAGGAGTTGGAAATATGCATCAAAGTCGAAATCTAGCGTCATTTGCCCAATGCGGCACTGGTATATATATATATAAAAAAGATCCTTTACATTACTACTCAATAACACTGCAACAGATGGGTGGACGGAGTAAAAGAGACACTGCAATATGACATGAACACAGCTAGCAAAAAGACTGGAAACTACATATAAGTCCTATCTGCAATGCTTTGAGGCAAAAAATTAAGACGAAAGAAGAAGCAGAAGAACAGTCTGAAATCTCATTAAAATAAGAAAAACAAACAGAATGCCCCCAACTATTATGTTCCCCTTTTCCTGTGTTTGTGTGCGTGTGTGTGTGTGCGTGCGTGCGTGCGTGTGTGTGTGTGCGTGCGTGCGTGTGAGTGTGCGTGCGTGTGTGTGCGTGCGTGTGTGATCCCCAGGTAGAACTCGCTAGCCACTGTTAACTTTGGAATGCTAAAATAGCCCATGCTTACAGGTTCCATACCCAGACGTTGAAGCGTTATCGCTCACGGCTGAATAGCTCACGATTAAAGAACTGCTTGGTTAAATGTGCTATCTGTAAACTCCCACGTGTTGCGATAACGGAATTGAGCGCAGCTTTATATACAAATTATATAGACTAGACGGAACCATCATCATCACCTTCATCGTCATCGTTTACCTTCTGTAGTAAAATGTCGGCTATAGCGAGTCTCCGCGCTCTATACGGTCTTCATGATCCATTTATTCAGGCTTCTGCTTAGGGGTTCCGAGGTGCTGAGTTCGATCCAAGCTGCTGGGGATTTGGCAGCAGACCGCCTTGCGTTGGGTAGGGGTGGTGTCGAAAGCCGACCTTTCGATAAGCCAAGGAAAACTACTGAAGCTTAGTGAAATCAAAAACAGCCCACACAATACTTGGGTTGGTTCTGCAAAGTTCTGCAAAGGAGGGTAACTACTTCTAGTCTCTAGATTGTGTCCACCAGCAGATAGTTTTCTTTTTAGTAGTGCACATTTATTTCGCTTTCGCTTTCCCCTTCACCTCCCAGAAATCCTTTCAGTAGCAGCTGTGTCTTTTCACGTGGCAAGAGTACCGTTTGTATCTGGTCTTCATATAATTTAGGAAGTGTTACACTGTCTGTTTTCTGCTTTTTTATGGTATGAGTGGGAGTGTGTTAAGAGAGAGAGAGAGAGAGAGGAGAGAGAGAGAGAGAGGGTGGGGGTGGGGTGGGGGGGGGAGGGAGGTTTCTTTTGCAAGAAATTTTCTTCATATTCATCTATAAGATAATTTTTTTCAAAAGCTCACATTATAACTACACGCTTCATCTTATCAACGTTGTTTGTGCAGCCTCAATCGAATGACTTTTGTTTTATTATATAAACCAAATCGCCTGTTATCCTAGCGATGGATATTAAATAACTGTTTGCTAAAACAGCTTTGTCATTTGTGTGTGTGTGTGTGTGTGTGTAAACCAAGTAAACGATTTTTCAAGATGGAAGCCATGGTTTTAACTCATAACCTTACAGATGCCAATAAGCTGTTTCATGTTGCTTAATACTATTTCAGCCACTAGTCTTTTCCTACTCATCTCTTCCTTACACTTGCCACAGTCCGTTACGGTCTCTCTCTCACACCACACACACACACACACACACACACAGATGAAATGTTTTGTGTCTTAACACTTCCTGTCATTCTCTCTCTCTCTCTCTATCTTGGTTGTACACTCTCTGATGACCGTGTATCTACTGAATTTGTCCTTCCAGTTGTATTACTGTATGCTTTTCTCTCTCTTTCCTTCAGTCATTTTGTGTGTGTGTGTTTTTTTTTTTTTTGGGGGGGGGGGGAGGGGGTTGTTCAACCAAACCCACTAAAAATGGGGGTGGGGGACCCTCAAGGTGTCTGAGCTTCCATGTTCTAGCACCTATGCTTGGAGATCCTACATTTTAGCTGATATAATGGTTACAGCAGAAAACCTAAATGTTTAAAAAAAAAAAAAAAAACTACTGCAGTGGAATAATGGAAGAAGAGTTTAAAAATGAATGGGATTTGTTGTTATTGGCAATTTAAAATTTAAAACAAAAAAGAAAAGAAAGAAATATGTGCAAACATAAACGATCTAAATTATAATTAACTATTATAAAAGATATTAGTGCATGTTTATTCTCTCTTAGTTTTAATTTTTAAAGATTGAAAGTTAAAACATTTCTCGGGGTTTGTATAGCTACAATTCTACAGTTAAACATCCTTATGGTTTTCAGGACTATATTGACCTTATAAGGGGATATACACAAGGTATTTACAAAATGAAACAAAATGTTTACAGTAGAACGTTAGGAGACACAGGCTCCAAATATTGACATTCTTAATTAAAGACCCAATTTCAGTTTCCTTACAACAACACGTTGTCAACAGACCGAAAAGGGCACTTCACTTAACATTTTGCCTTTGTCCCTATAGACACAGCCTTGGGGTAGCGGTTAGACGTCCGCCTTCGGATCTAAAGGCTGTGGGTTCAAATCCGAAGCAGTTGGGTTTAAAAAAATGACCAAGCCTTAAATGGGTAGCAGGTGAAGTCATGAGAAGTATTGGAGGCCTGCGTGATGTTAACTGACCACATCCCTCACCAAGTGCCGATTGGTTTATAAAAGATCAATCACTGTAAGTCCAATACCCCTGAAGGCGCGGACAGGGGTCAAGGGTCACAGGAAGCACAACAGCTTTGGCAAGAAACCACAACCTGAACACCCTAGAATTTATTGGGAATGTCTCCTGTGACGTCATTGTGACGTCAGGGGTACGCAAAAAATATAGTACCCAGCTTTGGTACATCTGGTAACAAAAGATTATCGGAAAAGCGCTCATAGAGAAACCATTCTGAACCAACAAAATGACTACGTATAAGAGGGGGAGGGGTGGGGACAGGAGCGTGTACGTTTAGGGTCTGAGTGATTTCACAGAAATATTGGAAACTATTCATTTTCAAGCATGTACAGTAGTAAACTTCGTAATGTCGGGGTGCCGGGTTCGATCCCAGCTGCGGGCCCTGCGCCTCGCGTTGGTTTCGACGGTAGTATCGAGAAGCAGACCGCACAGAAAGCAATGGCAAACTACTGGACGTAAATTTGCCTAGAAAAACCACAACAGCCAAAAAATGCTGGGTTTGGTTCTGCAACGTCCTGCAAAGGATACGCAACTTAAAAAAAAAACACAGTAATAAACAGAAATATCAGATACATCAACTTAAAGGAGGCAATTACGCAGCTTAGCTGTAAACAGGCATACGGTAATCAACATCCTTATACAGGCCAGGATACAGGATGAGTGCACAGGCGTTTTGACCGGATATAGCGTGCACTCCCGCACACTGTAACTGGATCACACATACAAAGGCAACCAACTGGCTGATGCTGGGAGTAAAGGCAGACAGCGAGATCCTCAAAACAATATTCGCTGAATGTCAGCACACCAACACATACACACACGCCGCACGCACATACACCGCACGCATACACATGCATATACACATGCATCGACACACAACCGCAGCTTTGGTTGAGATTTGCATGTTTAGGAAATATATTTCTGCGCTTAATGTGATATAAAACATCATTAATTGTCACAATTAACATCCAAATTGACAAATAAAAGTATTTGGCTATCCTCCGAATAACGGCCACATATTATGGCGGTCAAAAACACACCCTGACAGGGCTTCAGTCACATGTAAATTGCTAACGGCGACTATACCGCCACCGCCGAGAGTTTCGACTGCGCCGCTACGCGCGGCACGGAGCTAAACTAGATGGCTGCGACTCACGAGCAGCAGCTTCCGCATATCCTGCAGCTTTGCTGGTGAGTCCCAGCGGCGCGGGAGATACATGTGACTAAGGCCCTGTTTTTAGCCGCCATAATATGTGGCCGTTATAAGGAGGATAGCCAGTATCCTAATTAACACGGTGATATTTGAGAGCCCTTGTAGGCGCGGATATACGCCCATTAAATCCGTCCTATGTGCATAAACATGGAAGATATATATATATATATATATATATATATATATATATATATATATATATATATATATATATTTATATATATATATATATATATAGCTAGGGAGATGCAAACAGAGAAGCATGTAGAGGGGAAGAAGGGAGAGACAAGGGAGAAATTAGGATATGAAAGAACGGATTGAGAGAAGAAGAATGGACAGATGGGAGGAAGAGGACAGGGACTGACTGAAAGAGATACAGAAAGGTGGACATACTGTCAGACATACAGCAAGA